TATACACACACACACACACACACACACACACACTCACACACAAAGAAAAACAAGTAGATAAATTAGAAAAAATAGAAAGCTAGTGTTTTTTTGTTTTTGTTTTTTTAAATAAAAAAAAAAGATAAATATAGATAAAGTAGAATTAAAATAGAATAGAAAGTGCTAGAGTTAGAGGGTCAAATAAAGGTGGAACAGATGTGTTTTTAAATATGTAAATTTAGATGTGTTCAAGTAAAATATACTAATGAATTCAAACTTGTATCTGTACAAACTTAAATTGAGTAATAATATAGAATTTTTAATTCTTGATTTCTTTCATAATTAAAATTATTTAATGTAAAAAGTACATTTGTTTTTCTGTAGTATTTAAAATTATTTATTTAATCATTTTTATCAGCATAATGGCACTTAATATTACTGTAGTGTACATAACTGTAGTTAACTGTAGTACATAACTGTAGTGCTAACCTCCCTTTCACACTCACCTTAGGTTCCTTTGACTCTCTGTATCTTGGCTCTGAGAAATGTCCATCTCAGGGTCCTCAGGCACCTTCCTCTTCTTATCCTTCTCCAGAATCGAATCCCAGGCTATCTGTAATCAGAAGCACATTTAAAACTGGAATATAATTTAATTTCATTCACATGTGTTTCATATAATCCTTTCTGGATTACAATCTGCCATCAAAATGATTTTTTGACATTTAATTATTCTAACTGCTGTGAGAAAAGGCTAACGATCTGCCACCTGTAGGATCCTCACATGAGGTAGCCTAGTAGCTGGGACAACTTCTTTATGTTTACAGAAGTGACGTAATGACGCAGCAGCATGCATGAATTTCCTGTGAAAACCTACCCGTACCACTCAAATTAGAAAACATTATTATAAGCTAACCGTTGTGAATCGGGCTAAAGTAAGGCGATAGTTTTGAACACTGGCTGGTTATGTACTTGCTCAAATATTGATTTTGGATAATTTTTAACCAAAAAAAGTTACGGACTGCAGCTTTAACTGAGTTATGTACAATTAGCAAAGGAAATTTAATGTGGCCAGTTAGAGTTTGAGGAGTAATTTCTACTTAATTATTTTAAGTTTACTCTGCAATACTCAAGTACATTTCTTTACTCAAGCAATGTAGCACTGAAAAAAAAAACATGCGATTAAAGCATGTGGTTCACTTACAAACATGTAAGCAAGTAGACATCTTGTTGTCCTTAAGATAATATGTCTACTCAATATAGTTATTACCCAAAAGAACATGGAGACCTTAATACTTGGTACACAGTACACAATGACAGTAACAATCAGTAAAGTAGAAAATGAACCCCAAGTGTCACAAAATAGCAAGTTACTAAACCTAACAACAAAAGCAACCATAAAACAGTGTATATACAACTCAAACACGTGAAAATTTTAACCTTATTAATTATTCATGCCCCAGACTAAAGCTTCTGAAGCAGAAAACTGAATAACATGGAAATGGTCTACATCAGCGGGTCTCAAACTGTGGGCTGAAGCATTCCAAGTTGTCCACAGGTAGGCAGATATAATTAATAAAATATTTCTTAGACATTAAAAAACAAGTATATTTAAAAAAAAATGTTTTGCCTCTTAATAACTATTAAATGTGGAAACAGTGATAATTTTTTTCAGGATACAGGAACAGAAAGTTCAAAAGAATGTTCAAAAGAACAGCATTTATTTTATTTATTTAAAAAAAAAAATTGTAAAAAAATATATAAATGGTTTTACTGTCACTTTTGATCAGTTCGGTGTGTAAACTTTTGAATGGTGTGATACATAGGCTTCGGATCTCTCCAGTGAAACATCACAAAATGAATAATACATTTTCAAAGACCTGTGTTAAGTGTAAAATGGAAGACAGTACATATTTTCATTGTATTTTTGACTGTTTTCATATTAAAGCATTCTTATTGGATGTTGTTCAAGAAATTAATAACACATTGGGAATCTCTCTGGACCTTGACCCACTGGTCTGTATTTTAGGGATTCTTTCATACAACACCAGGAGCTCTTCTAAGATTCAGTTGCTCAAAATTTTATTATTTACTGCCAGACGCTGCATACTACTTCAGTGGATTTATAAAAAAAAAAAACACCAACAAAGACATAATGTACTAAGAGTGTATTGGACATTATGCCATTTGAAGCCTTGAGTTTTTTTGAGAAAACTCCAGATAACGTAGCTCTGACATAGCAACACCCAACATAATCACTTGCATTTTATCCATCTTATGCACTTCTTTTTTCGTTTATGGTATTTATTTAGCAGTTGTTGATTACTCTTGTCTATCTTTTGTTAATAAAAATCTATTTTATTACACTTGTGTCTTCCTTGTGTTGATGATACCGAAAGAGGTTCTACAAGTTAGAGATCCCACCAATCTTTCTTATGTGATGTACTCATAACCACACCTTAAGTGACACGTGATCCAAATATCATAACGTCATTGGTGACGCGAGTACCCATCACTACACTATTTCGCCTCCTTAGGTTGGCGAAAGCAATATTCACTACACTTGCCACAAAAGGACCAGCTGACATCATGTCAGTGATTCTCTCATTAACACAGGTGAGAGTATTGATGAGGACAAAGCTATAGATCATGCTTTGCACAAAAAGGGATTCACAGGCAAGGATAATGCTGCTAGTAAGATTGCACCTAAATCAATCATTTATC